TTGGTATCGAGCCGAAGAAATGAAAGCCTATTTCCACACCGCGACCGGCACTCAGATGCTCATCGCAGCTTTATGTTTAATAGCCCCGAACTGGAAACTGCCTGCCTGCCAGTCAGGTGAATGGATATTTGTAGTGCGTTAGATCCGTATAATAGACAAGTACTTACTCCACAGGAAACAGGAACGAACCCCAGACGCACACTGCAGCGTGCAGGAATCCCAGGAACGTGTGCTGAAACAAGCCAGACGCGGAAGGGGACACACCGGGTGACTCCAATTACGGAAGAGCTTTCTATGGCAATCCGTGGTGGTGGAAATCGGTTCAGAGGCCGCCTGTGGCCAGGCGTCAGGGCGGGGCCCATGGGAGCTTGAGCGTGCCGGAATGTTCTCCAGCAGGACTGTGGTGCCGGCGCTGCACTTGAGGGACGCATTTGTGAAAACCGCCCAACTGTGTGTGTGAAGGGGCTCATTTCTGTGGTATACGAGTTACACCCCGATGCTGGGTTTGCAGCAGCCACGCTGTACCCTTCCTGGTGGTCGGCGTCGCAGACTTTGCCATTCAGAGTGGGTGCTTCCGAGGCTGTGCTGGTGGTCAGGACTCAGGACCAGGGTCTCTGCCGTCCCTCTCATGCCCCGTGCAGTCATCCTACTGCGGGTGATCCCAGAAAATTGGGGCACCTTTCTTGCACCTCTGCTCTCTACTTGCTGACTCAGCCCCGCGAACCTTCTGCTTTGAGAGAGGAGCCTGCAGCCTTCAGGGTAAACAAGAGGGTGAACCCAGGCAGCGCCAGATACGCAGACGGAAGGCCCGCCTGGATTGCTGCGTGCGGGGGTGGCCAAGATGCCTGAGCAAGGTGTCTGGGCTCCTGGACGGCCTGCGGCAGCCGGAGTCACTCTGTCCTGTGTCCGCGGTGGTGGCCGGCCCGCGGGCCTGGGTGGGACATGGGCGGCCTTGGGCGGGAGTCCTTGGTGAGGCTGCTTTCTTGTGTCTCCTAGGACTATGCCCAAGCGAGGTTCGATGCCTATTTCGACCAGAAGAGGAAGCTCGGGGTGTGAGTGTGTGAGGCGCCGTCTGCTTCATCCCTGGACTGCGTGGGGGCGGCCGGGCCAGCGGGGCCCTCGGCGCTCCAACGGCTGTCCCCGCGGCAAGGCTTGGATGGCTCGCTGCCGAACACAGATGTGTATGATACGAAAGACTGTATTAAAATTGAGTAACATTTATATCCTATCTTGTTTACGATTTCACTAGGACTCTGCACTGAGATCGGGAAGCAGAAACATAGCACAATAGCGCAATAGTGCAATTTCTCAGAATCCTTTGAGTCTAGAGAAGGCGTTTTCTATGTGGGGCCTGAAGTTTGCAGTCAGAGACGGCAGACAGCACGAGTAAACAGTGTTTCTGCGGGTACTTTTTTTCAGTTAATGTTGATTTTTCAAGGACTTGAATTCATGTGCTGGGGAACACTGTGACCAGGCCTCCGGTGGTGACAATGTGTGTCGATGCCGCCGGCTCCTGAGGGCGGCGAGTGAGGAGGGACAGACTGTGACGTTGCTCTGCGGCCTGACTGACCGCGAGTGCCCGGAAGCTGCTCCCTCCCCCTTCTGGTCCACAGGGCGGATGCTCGAGGCAGCAGACGCCCGTGCGGGGGGTGGGCTGTTGTCTCCGTTCGATGAATGTAGCTCCTCCGGACCTGTTTTATGTATTTTGTCCCGCGGACGCATCTCCCCCGTCTGTCTGCGGCCTCTGCCCTGCCCTCCTCCTCCACTGAATGTGCCCTACTAACCCCAGCCTCGGCGGGCAGGCACCTGCGGACACACTCGCCTCCCGCCTGCCCTCCCGCCAGAAAGCAGGCTTTGCCCTGCTCTCCGCGGCCTGTTCTCCTCCACCTCTGCTCAGCCCCGAGTTGTGGATTCTGTGACAGGGCTGGCGGCCCTAGGCGTCATCCCGCTGCCGCGCCCACCGCCGGGCCCCGGTGCCCCCGGTGGGGAGAGGGTGGCCTGGCCTGGGCTCTGGGCCGGCTCCCGCTGCCCTCCCTGCCCCCGGTGTCCCTGACGGGGTGGTCCTGGTGGGAAAGAGCAGCCTGTATGTGGAATGTGGGGGCATGGATACGCTAGAGCTGTGAAACCCTTATATAGAGTAAATGTCCTTTGGGATAAAGTTTTTTTTTTTACTCTGAACTTTTATTTGAATTGCTTTTTGTGCATACATTTCTGCTACTGGAGACTGTACTATACAAACAATAAAAACATACAAAACCCTCACTGTCATCCTTGGTCGTGTCCTAAATCTCGGGCAGGGCTCCTGTTACCTGGTTGTGCCTATGGAGGGCTCCCGGGGGGTCCTCCCAGCTCTCCACCCCCACCTCCACCCCCACAGAGACCTCTGGAAGGACACAGAAGAAACTAGGAGCAATGGGATGTGCTGGAGGAAACTGAATGGTCAAGGCAGGAGGGAGATTTTCCACTATTCACCCTTCCAGACGTTTAAAAGTTTAGCCAGGTGAATGTGTTCTGGGATCCAAGCAATAAAACTGAGCGATAGAGGATACTGCACTCCTGTGTAAGGTCTCCCCCAGAGCGATGCCCCCCCCCGCCGGCCCGCCGGCCCCGCCCTCCCTGCGGCATCCGGAGGCCCTGGGGGCCGGGCCCCCCCAGCAGCTGGCCAGATGAGAGCTACAGCGATAGAGCCAGGCCACCCGGCTTGCCATGCCCAGGGCATCTCTGGCCTCAAAAGCGGCCTTTGTTCCCGGGGCCTCCTGCCGGAAGAGCCACTTTGCAGCTCCTCAGCCCGAGAAAGGGAGGCCTCTGAGAAGCACTAGCACCACCTCCCAGCCGGCGGTGGGACCCAGGCCAGAGAGACATGCACAGTGCTCCTCTCCAGCCCACCAGTCGAAGGATGGCCTCGGGGAGCAGGACTGGTCACCCAGGGAGGGATGGCAGAGACGGCAGCCTCCCCTGAAGGGCCAGCAGGACCTGGAGTCCAGCTCAGTCCTTTTCCTGGCCCTCCGGGCCCCAGACAACTCCTGGGCCGCCCGGACAGCCTCTGCCCTTTCTGCAAGAGGGTGTGTGGGG